TACTAAAACTAGAATTGTAGAAACCAAGAGGAAAAAAAGAAAAACAAAACCAAAAAAAGGAAAACTGCAGTCATGCAAGTTCCAGTAAAGGACAAAAGGAAAATGGGAAAGACAGAAAGAGGAAAAAAGGGAAAATGAAGAACATCAAGATAATACCCTCAACACTTCTGATTTATCCATAATTATTCCAGTATACATACATCCTTTCAAATACTGATTCTTAATTTTATTCCCCCAGGCAGGAAGCCTTGGCTATACGTTAGTTAATCAAATATTATTCTTCATATTGCTATGCTGCCATTTTAAGCCCATTGATTAGAGTAAATCTCAACTCTATAATTACCATGAACTGATAAATTGCATTTTCCACTTTCTTTCAATTAGTAACAATGAATAAGGTTAACCCAAATAAATGCACACAGCTTTTGAAGCAAAATGCTATGAATGATCTTTAGTAGACTGCTATTAATAAAATTCTTAACAATTATCTTTCAGGCCGGCCGAGTGGATCAGTTGGTTAAGAGCTCACTCAAGAGTTTGAGCTCTGAGCAACAGCAGTTCGAGTCCCGGCCCGAGCTGAGCAGCTGCTGAACTGCCAACAGGTGGCAGGATGGCTCAGCTTAAAACAAAACAAAACAAAAAAAACAACAACGATTATCTTTCAGGTAAATTGCCTCTAACACATTTCGGAAAAGTAAATAACATCCTCAGTATTACTTCTTAAACCACTCTTCAAAAAATGCTTTCCCCTAGACAGACATAAAAATCACTTATCATCTGTCTAACCCAAAGGTTAAAACAATTTCATGTTAATCATAACCACAACCGTTCAGAAGAGGATTGCAGTATTTAAAAACTAAGTTTCAATGAAGAATGAAACTACGGTAGAACTGAATTAGGTGGGATGCAATGCACATAGGCTAGTCGTCAGTAATAACAGCAAAGGTTCAGTGGTTAGTAAGTTTTTAGTGTTTTATTTATTCCTCCTATAGATAATAACGACCTAGATTAGGGGCCTTATCTTTTGTATTTTATGTTTTGGAACACATCATCAGTCTATAGATCATCAAAAATGACAGAATGGAATTGTAAATTAATCCCATTCCTACCTAATTTATTAAGAAATCCATTACAATTAAGAAAAACTAAAAGTCTTTCTTAAGAAGACTTGTGCCCCAGAAAAAGAACGCAAAGCCTACATTTTAATGACAAAGTCTCTGTAGTAGTCTTAAAAGTAAGCCAAATCATTGGAAGTGCAAAGGGCTGGGGAAAGTGGAGAGGGGGAGAGAGTTGAGGCTCTGGCTGTTCTGCCAGCTCCCACCTGGCCCAACCTATCTCAGTGCCAAGCTCAGGCGTTATCACCTCACCTGTTCCGGGTTCCTAAACTTTATACTCAGAGGTGGGATGGGATGCTTTAGTCATCTCTGGAAGGAGATAAATGCCTGTGTCGTGAATGTATTAATAAATGAATGAGTGAGGGGAAAAAAGGCCAAGATTATTAGATTCCTAATTTTATTCTTAAAAACCCACAGCTCTTTTTTAAACTGGAGACTTTTTTGTTTTTAAAGTTTTAATTTTGTAATCATGGCTAATAAAACAACTCTCAATCAGTTTTCCAAGCAATGTACAGTGAACAGTTTGAATTAGTTTTAGTTCTTTAAGATCTAGTTTTTGGGGCCGGCCATGTGGCGCATTGGTTAAAAGTTGGCTTGGGATGCCGGCTCTGAGCATCAGGGCGGCAGTTCAGATCCCACATGAGGGCCAGTGATGCTGCGCCCTCTACAGCTAAGATAGTGAACAACAGCTCGACCTGGAGCTGGGCTGCCATGAGTGGCAGGCAGCTAACATGAGCTTTCGTGAGCTTCCATGAGCCGCCATCCAGTGGCCGGCGACCGATTGCCTCACCCGGGAAAAGCGCAATGATAATACCAACATGGGCCAGTGAAGCGACGTCCTCCACAACTAGACTGAAGAACAAAAGGACAGCAACTTGTCTGTTCCCCTTCCCAAATTCCCCAACGCTGTTCCCCTCCCCCAATTCCCCACTAAAATCTTTTTTAAAAAATAATCTAGTTTTAAAGTAATGAAAAGCAAATATCTATAATAAATTTTCCTCACTTAAAATTTAATTTGCACCATGGTGACTGGTTCTCAAGCTTCAGCACCACCATGTAACTAGTTAGAAATACAAATGATGGGGCCCTGCAGAATCAGCTCTGGGGTGGGGCCTAGCAATTGTGTTTTAACAAACCTTCCAGGGGATGTTGATGCTCGCTAGTTTGAGAACCACTGGCTTAGGGGTTAAGAATCACATTGCCCAGATTCAAATCTTGGAGTCAAGGTTTACTTGATGGGTAATTCAAGAGTAAATTATCCAGCTTCTCTAGGCTTGTTCCTCATCTATAAAACGGAATCACAGTATTGTTCTGGAGATTAAACAAGAAAACATATGTTAAGGGCTTAGGAGCAATGCCAGGCACATAAGAAATATTCAAATGTTAGCTGTTATTCCTATATGAAAAGCACTTTGACAGCTGTAGACTGGAAGGGGGAAAACAATGGCAGAAAAGGCTCTTAATCTTTTATGATTAAGGAGTTTAATACCTAGTGACTAGGCTAGATATGTGTACAACAAGGCAGAACCAAACCCACTCCTAGAGGAAATAAAGATGCCCTCCTAGGAGGGGCAAACAAGTTGGCTGGGATAATGTAAGAAGAAACAGCAAATTCTGACCAAACAATATAAGAGAAAGCTTTAAATAAGTGATTGCAAATACACATATAAGCCTGAAAAGAAAAAGTCATCCCAGCCCACAGATGTGAGCCGAAATGCCAACCAAGAAGCAAGCCAAAGAAAAGCACAAGGCAGCAGACCACAGTAGCTTAAGAATGGACAAAGCAAAAATATGTACAGTATTCCCCCTCTTAGCCACAGAGGATACATTCCAAGACCCCCAGTGGCTGCCTGAAACCTTGGATAGTATTGACCCTATGTATACTGGTTTTTCCTATACATACATACATACCTTCCTCCTTAATCAACTTCAACTCTGCCGGAAATGTGACAGCAGCTTCTTCATCAGCAGATGCAGCCTCTGCAGTAATTTTTACATTTCTCAGTCCAAACCTATTCCTGAATCTGTGTAACCATCCCTTACTTGCAGTAAACGGCTTGGTGTCATTCCTTTCAGAGGATCCCTTGCTGAAGTCTTCATACAGGCTCAGTGCTTTCTGGCGCAACATGCTGCCGTCAACCGGAACACGTTTTCTGTTCATGTCTTCCACCCACAAACTTAATGCCTTTTCCATCTCAACTAAGCACTTATCACGCACCGTGGCCGTCACTTTTGCAGTTTGAGGTGCCACAGCAAAACTAGCACGAATTTCCTTTTCCTTCTTTACAATTTCACGGATAGAAGATTCGTTCTTACCGTAGATCTTAGCAACTTCAGCATAGGATTTTTTTTCTTCCCTTATTAAGTCAAGAATTTTCACCTTTTCACTTAAAGGAAGCACTTTACGGCTTCTCTTTGGCATATATGAATTGCCAACATCACTATTCTTGCGCTTTGGGGCCATTCTTAAAGAAAATTAAGTGTTACTTGAACACAAGCACTGCAATACCAAAACCGAGAAGGCTACTAAGTGACGAGCAGCTGGTAGTGTATACAGCGTGGATAAGCTGGACAAAGGGATGATTCACGTCCCAGGCGGGACAGAGCAGGACCTCATCACGCTACTCAGAACGGCGCGAGAAATTTAAAACTTATGAATTGTTTATTTCTGGAATTTCCCATCTAGTATTTTCTGACCTCAACTAGAACTGCAGGAAGCGAAACCGCGGATAAGGAGGGGGTCTACTGTATTAGGAAATAAAATCAGTTATCTCATATCATAGGCCTTGGCCTGGGGAAAATACCCTGCCTCCTCAGGGCACTCTAATGCACATTCTCATCTGCAAACTAACTTCCCCTTTTTGTTTCCTCAACACCCAGAGACTACTCTCAGGCACTGTGGCCTATCAAGCCATTGTCTGCAGCAAAGTTGAATGCAGAGGGTGAGAAGTCTGCACGGGGCCCCCGCATTCGCAGGAGTGAGCACTACTTGAACAGGACCCGACATCTGAACACTCTCAGCCGCAAATTAGCGCAAAACCATAACACTAAAAAACAAAAAACAAAAAAACCTCGCTTTAATAAATGCAAAACTTGGATAAGCAAAAGTAAAGGGGGGAGGAAGGGGAAAGAGGACAGTTTTTTGTCTTCTTCCTCCCCTGAAACGCCGACTGGGTGCTGGCCCAATCCAGATGGCTTATTTTCGTGGCCTGAAGGCTGAGATTTTCCTTCCGGTCATTGTGTGTATTTCCCCCAAATAACAGGCACAGCGGGGCAGGCGCGCCCGCCGGCCGGGACAAAGCCCACTCGGGGCTCCACCTGGGCGCAGGCTGGGAAGGGAAGGGCTGGGGACGGGGAGGGGCCACGCTCCCCAGCCCGCCCGCCTGCCTGCCGACCGCAGTTACCAAGCTGCGCGGCACCGCCCCCGTCGCCCGCCGGCCAATCCAGAACGTCTGCTGTCTGGGCCCACGAGCCCCAGAGACACCAGGCTGAGCGCGACCCCACCGTTCGGGCCTGGCACCGCGCGCGCACCCGCACCACCCGAGCCGGCCAATCAGCGACCGGGTATGCGCAGCCACAAGCTCGCTCGCGCGCGGGCCTCACGCGTGAGAACCCCCCCCACACACGCGGCGCAGGCGCGCGCGCCCCTCCCCCATGCGTACCCAGGCGCGCGCGTGCAACTGTCGTCCCCCGCGACCACATCTGCGCCTGCCCCACCCCCAACGCCGGCGGCCCGGGGTGGGGGGGCTGGGGTGCCCAACCCGGCCGCCAACAGTCCCCAAACTCCTGTCCGTGTAGGCCCCGGAGTGGGGGGTCTCAAATAAAGGCCCTGCTCGCGATGGCAACTGGGGCGGGGGACAGGGGAATGAGGCGACAGGGACTCACCCGAGTGCAGCCGCCTCCAGGCAGCGCCGGGATCGGGGGTGCCGAAGAGAAGCGAGTGTGGGCCGTGCGTGAGCTGCGGCCGCGGTGAAGCGGCCTCGGGCTGAGGCGAGCCGATTAGCGGGCAGGAGGTGAGAGGGCGAGGGGCCCGTGCGTCTCGGCCGAGCTTCTGTCACCGCCGCATGGCCGCCCTGGAAGGGCCTCGCTCAGCGCCTAGATCCAATCACAGGGGACCGAGGGAGAGGCCGGGGTAACCGAGGCAGGCGGGCGGCCACGGCTAGAGAGTGCGTGCGGGGAGGCGGGGGGGCGCTCGGTGGCCCCTTTTCTCTGCTCTCCGAGCTTCTCTCTCACCCTCCTCCTCCTCCTTTTTTTTTTCTTTTTTTTTTTTTTTGTCCCTCGAAGACTTGCTGCGCTTGCGCACCGGCAGCGCCGCCCAGCGGGAGTTGTAGTTTCTGTTTCGTCCCAATCAACGTGATGGCGGGGGCGGTGGACTACGACTCCCAGGAAGCGTTGCGCCGACGAACCCCCAAGCCGGGGGGACGCGGAGAGCGCGGCGCCCGGCCCTCTCGGGCAAGGACTGTCAATGGAGGCGCGGGTGGTGGGATCGAGAACATGGCTGCACCTGGGGCCTGCGCGGCTGCCCGGGTGGGGGAGGGGAACTGGGGCGCAGGGGTGAAAATCTAGGCCGGTGGCGGTCTAGCCGGCCTCAGCCGCCGTCCAAGGCTCGCACTTACTCTTGCACCCGAGATTCCCTGCATATTGCGAGGCCGGAACATGACAAAGTCCAGGGAACCCCAGGCCGGCCGGTCAGTCGGCCTACCGGCCTCCGTGCTCCGCCAAGGGATTTCCTCTGCCCTGCACCACCCTCCGGGACACAAAGAACTCCTGTTTAGAAAGCTTGCCTCTAAAGAGACTGTTGCCCCCAACTTTGGACGAGGGAGGGGAGGACATTCATATTTTTATTTACCCTCCTGAGGTTTTGCTCACACTCGACATTTAGAAAAAAAGTCGAGGAAAAACCATGGAGTGGGAGCAGAAAACCTGATTTGTAGCCCGTTTTGTTCTATCAACCGCTAAGCAATTTTGTTCAAATCCATCCACCCCTATTATTTTTTGCTTCTCAACTTTCATTAGCTCATGAATTTTGAAAAACGATGAAACATTACTGTTCACCTAAGTTAAACTCAAAAGTTTAAAAAAACTCGAGCCCAGAGATTTTAAATGTTTATGTAAAGCACAAGATCGAGTGAGTTTGTGATTTTTTTCCTCCCCACCGGAGATTACAGCCGGGGCGGCCAACTTCCCCCTCCCCCTCCTCCTCGGTAGGTGGCGACCACATCGCCTTTTCCAGCCTTTGTTGCTGGCAAGAAAACTTTCCAAACAGCCAGTCTTTTGATGTATAGTAGTCCCCCCTTATCCGCGGGAAATATGTTTCAAGACCCCCAGTGGATACCTAAAATCACAGATAGTACCAAATACTATATATACTGTTTTTTCCTATGCATACATACCCTCCTTATTCAACTTCAATTCTGCCGGAAATGTGACAGCAGCTTCTTCATCAGCAGATGCAGCCTCTGCAGTAATTTTTACATTTCTCAGTCCAAACCTATTCCTGAATCTGTGTAACCATCCCTTACTTGCAGTAAATGGCTTGGTGTCATTCCTTTCGGAGGATCCCTTGCTGAAGTCTTCATACAGGCTCAGTGCTTTCTGGCGCAACACCGTGCCGTCAACCGGAACATGTTTTCTGTTCATGTCTTCCACCCACAAACTTAATGCCTTTTCCATCTTAACTAAGCACTTATCACGCACCGTGGCCGTCACTTTTGCAGTTTGAGGTGCCACAGCAAAACTAGCACGAATTTCCTTTTCCTTCTTCACAATTTCACGGATAGAAGATTCGTTCTTACTGTAGATCTTAGCAACTTCAGCATAGGATTTTTTTTCTTCCCTTATTAAGTCAAGAATTTTCACCTTTTCACTTAAAGGAAGCACTTTACGGCTTCTCTTTGGCATATTCAAATTGCCAGCATCACTCCTCTTGGGCTTTGGGGCCATTATTAAGTAAAAAAAGGATTACTTGAACACAAGCACTGTGATACCCAGACAGTCATCTGATAACAGAGACTGCTACTAAGTGACTAATGGGCGGGAGTGTCTACAGCGTGGAGACGCTGGGCAAAGCATTGAGAGGGTGTTAGAAAGTGAGTTGTTAAGGACAAAAGTTCATTTAGTCATGATTACCTGTGTCATCATTAAAAATTTGGGTGATAGTCCTCTGCTTCTGTGAATTTGTTTAGTGCGTCAGAGTGGAATTTTGCTGCTTCATGAACAACTCGAACTTCTTTAATGTTGAAGCAGTTCCTAAAACTGTTAAATCCTAAAACAGTTCCTAAAATTTCAGCTGGCTTTGAATTACCGCTAGACAGAAAGCTGGACCTTTTGGGACAATGATCAGTATATGGAACGGTGTGTGGTTTGAACGCATGTGGAGGCCAAGCCTTTTTCTCAGTGTACTGCTATTAACGGGTGTAACCCTCAAATTTATGTCTACAGTCATAAATGTCATGCTTTTTCAGTCTTCCCTAAGGCCTGACTCACTACCTTGGCCATTATTGGTACACTTGTTGGTATTCATTAGCCAATTTCTCCCTTACCTCATTGATACAGATGCTTTGTTAATTGTGATCATAATTATAAGCCACTTTGGAAACCATCTTTCAGCAAAGCCAATTGTTTTTCCCACACAGGATTGAACTGATGTCTTTTGGGTTGAGCAACAGATGAAAGAAAAAAATAAAATCATTGATTTGTGTTTAGGAATTGTATAGTATGGAATCCTCCTTTGTTTCAATTACACTCAATCTACTTTGTTTAGAATCACATTTAAGATGTGTGTACCAAGACTGAGATTACAGAAAAAGCAAATTTGCAGCTCTTTATCACTCTCACTTAAGACATAAAAGCAGAGGCCAACAGTTGGCAGAATCTTGCACATTAATTATGTCAAATATTTCTCTTGTTGATGTTTAACCTAGTGTATGCAATCCTGCAGATGAGTGTTCATATAATATGACACCTCCTTTCTATTGTATATTTGGAAGACAGAAACCAAGTCAAATGGGCCTATGCCAGGCTAGAGATAGATCTAAACCAAGTGTGAGCTCTTCCACCAACTCAAATGCATCTTTACATAGACTAAGCTTACAGCCTTGTTGACTGCTTTTAAATAGCAAGTAATCTGGTGATATTTGAATGTCTTCACCAGTCCTGAAGAATAATCACCTTCTCCTTAGGTTCTTAATTCTTGGTATCAGGAGTAGGCCTTCTCCGCTATCATGTGACCCGCTGACCACCTGTGCTGACAGAGCCACACATACATCAGTTGGTCAAGGTCATTGTTATTAAGATCATTTAGTGCTCTTTTTTTTTTTTAAAGATTTTATTGAGGAATCGGGGAAGGGGAACAGACAAGTTGCTGTCCTTTTGTTCTTCAGTCTAGTTGTGGAGGACGTCACCTCACTGGCACATGTTGGTATTATCATTGTGCTCTTCCCAGGTGAGGTAGTCGCTCGCCAGCCATTGGATGGCTGCTCACGGTGTCTCACGGCAGCTCACGAAAGCACATGCCTGCTGCCGGTCAGCCCCACTGCAGCCTACGCTGTCACCGGCAACTCATGGTAGCCCAGCTCTAGGTCGAGCTGTTGTTCACCGTCTTAGCTATAGAGGGCGCAGCATCTCTGGCCTGCATATGGGATCTGAACCAGGGTCCTGCTTCTCAGAGCTGGGGTCCCAAGCCAGCTGTTAACCAACGTGCCACTCAGCTGGCCCCCAAGCCAACTCTTAACCAATGCACCACTCGGCTGGCCCCATTTAGTGCTCTTTTTAAAGACACTCTTCCGTGCCGGCCGAGTGGCACGATGGTTAAGAGCTGGCTTGGGACGCCAGAGGGTTCGGATCCCACATATGAGGGCCAGTGACACTGCCCTCCACAGCTAAGATGCTGAACAACAGCTCAAACTGGAGCTGGGCTGCCGTGAGTCGCCGGCGACGGCGTAGGCTGCAGCCCCTGCTGCAGTGGGTTGCCATGGGCTACCGTGTGTAGCCAGCAGCCAGCGTGAACAGCCAGCAGCCGCAGTGAGCAGCTGTCCAGAAGCCGGCAACTGATCTGCCTCCCCCAGGAAGAGCGCAATGATGGTGCCAACTTGGGCCAGTGGGGCGGCATCCTCCACAACTAGACTGAGGAGCAAAAGGACAGCAACTTGTCTGTTCCCCTTCCCCCAATTCCCCAGCATTGTTCCCATCCCCCAATTCCCCAATAAAAAAAAATAAAAAAATTTAAAAAATCTTTAAAGACGCTCTTCCAAATCCAAACTGAATAATCATTTTGTCACCTTGTCATATATTTTAAATTGTCCCAAACCATATTTCTAGCAAAAGTTGAGATACTCTTGACAATTACTTTTTTGCAACACATCCAGTCTTTCGATGAATACTAAATAGAGATCTTTTTTTCCCATAATTGCTTGTCACAGGCCCAATATCTTCTGGGTCCAATTTCTTGGTTTTTCTTTACAGTATATATAGTACAGTGTATAGAGAGAGTGGAATATAAAATATGTATTCTTTGTAAGATAGCCGTTTGATCTTTGAGATCAGTGTTCCCAGTTAGGATTTGAATGCACAGTCCCCGTTAAATGGGTAAGGCCTCAATGACATCTTTAGCTGTTGGATGGTGTCTATACTCTAGGAGGTAACACCTTTGTTATTACAAGGTGCTTTTTTAACTGATTATAAAACACTGTTTTTGAATAGTTTTTTGTTTGGATCATTTACTATTCAGATATTTAGAATCCTGGATAAATGACCTTTCACAGAACTCTTCCAAAGGTGGGGAAAAAACTAAATCCAAGTTATAATTTATTCATAATAATTAATAATGTAGATGTGATCTACATAGACTTACAGCTCTTGCTATGCCTTTTGTACAAACAACTGCCCTATGCAGTAAACCCAGTATTTATGTGACACAAGATAAACATTTTTATCGGATTTAGATGAATGTTATCATCTATTTAATATTATGTTACTATTGCTATAATTGTTGTATCACTTAATTTTTTTTTTAAGATTATTTTTTTAATTGGGGAATTGAGGGGGGCGTTCTTCAGTCTAGTTGTGGAGGACGTTGCTTCACTGGCCCAATTTGGCACCATCATTGCGCTCTTCCCCAGGCGAAGCAGATCAGTCACTGGCTTCTGGACGGCTTGTCACTGCGGCTGCAGGCTACACACGGTAGCCCATGGCAACCCACTGCCACAGGGGCTGCAGCCTACGCCGTCGCTGGCGACTCACGGCAGCCCAGCTCCAGTCG